TTTTATAATAGATAATATATTAATTTATTCGTTATACTTTTGACTATAAATCAATAGTTTTTATTTAGATCAAAATAGCAATGAGGACAGTTGTCATTTTGTTACGCCTTTATTACCTACATACTAGCTTTTGCCCGCGACTTCGTTCGCGTGGACTTCAGGTTCGTCCTTCAGCATAAACATGCAGATTCTTCGCTTTGGTAACGTAAGCGCAAAAAATGTGTTTTTTACGACCTCACATTAGAAACCTCAAAAATTGTAGCCTATGTGTTATTCTGATGTATAAGCTATATTGTGGTAAAGTTTCATTCAAATCCATTCAGTAGTTTTTACGTGAAAGAGTAACAAACATCCATACATCCATACTTACAAACTTTCGCCTTTATAATAGTAGTAGGATATCCGATTATTCCGGAGGCGCTATAGGCAGTGCAGTGGTCTTAATAGGTTTGATAAGAAAATTGCAATATTTTTATAGTACCTAGTGTTTCTTGTTTCTCATTAAACACTAGCCTTGATTTGTTTTAAACATCAAGAGTCAGTCCACTTAACATTATACCATTTTTTTGACATACAACGCTTTGTGTGTTGTTGTAATTCAAGTACTATAGTTATGAAACTGCGTCCATCCTCCGCATCAGCAGCCTTTTTTAAAGATCCTGAGGTGTTGTTTTCCTTGGAGTCTTTCGTTTTCATGTCCTCGTGCTGTCAAAGCAGAATAATAAATTAAATGCAGTAGGTTTAAACAGTCATGCCAAAAGCGCTTACTTTCATTTGTGCTAGCGTAAACATAAATAGAATGAAATAAAATAGAACTTTATTTGCACACATGTACATAATATAGACACAGACTTTATGTTCTTAGATAAATTATAATAAAACAATAAAGGTTGCTTAGGAATTGGTTTTGCCGCGGACCAACCAGCCACTCATGAACGACACAATTTACATTTAAACAGCGACATTAGGATAAATACCAAATATTTTACTTAAACTATATTAAAAGCAAAAAATGCTAGCTTGCGACCAAAAAGTATCAAAACGAAAATATTTTCTTACGTGGCGTTGGAGGACCAACGCCACGTAAGAAAATATTACATACACTGCCGCTCGGTCGACGTCGCTGACTCAACTAAAATGATAGCCGTAGCAGTGGTAACATTAACAACGTTAGGCATTACGGGACACAATTGGTAGGTACAATAGTATATCTATCTCTTTCGGTTTTTAACCACCGACGCAAAAAGAGGGGTGTTATAAGTTTGACGTATCTGTCTGTCTGTCTGTCTGTCTGTGGCATCCTGGAGCCTGAACGGATAAAGCGATTTCAATTTAGTTTCTTTTGTATTAAAGGTGACTTGCGTGCGAGTTTTCTTAGATATGTTTGGCGAAAATCGGTTGAGCTGTTTAGAAGTTATAGGGGGTAAGTGGGGAAGTCTCAAATGAAAGCGTACTGAAAGGGAATGTTGATGAATTAATCGAGAGAAAATGATATAAAAAGTATAAAATAAAAAAATAAATTAGACCTCCGACAAAATATAGTTGATAATAAAATGTTTGGATCGGTCCCCCAACGCCTCGTTTTCTTTTAATGATTACTTTTTAAAGGAATATTAGATTTTTTTGTCGAGGATTTTCTAAATTTTATATTTATAATTGAGATACTGGCGTCGGAACAACGTGCCCCGTGAACTTCCATCCCGGCCTCCCTACTAATATAAAGTAAGTACAACAAATATGTATCTAAGAGAAAAATTGAGAAGAAAAACGATTGCCTTTTCTACAGAAAATAACAACAATTTATTGCCTACAAGAAATAAAATTGTACATAAGCAATAAAGCGTTAAATTGTCGTGTAAGCATGATTCAGCTATTTCCTACCATAATAAAGCTGAAATTAATGACAAATTATCAGGAAGTGATTATTTGATAACTGTTTATTACGCCTTTTTCGGGCATTTAGTGCTGCGCGAAAGAATTTAAACTATCGACCAACAAGCCGAGGCCGCTGCTGAACAAAGTAGTTTTAAATCGGCCAATACTTTTAAAACGTTGGTTATATACTAATATATCTATAACTATTCCTTATTTTTACTTATCTGATCATGATCACACACATAAGTAAAAATACAGATGAAAATAAAGAAAATCTTTCATTTTGTACCAAAAATCTTGGCAACGCCATTTATAGACAATTATCATCTAAATGTTTTTTTTTATGTTTTCTTCAAGATATTTTTACAATGCATACTGACCTACAAATCATCAAATTGCACCCTGGACAGAAGTCCTACCTACCTACCTAATGTAGTTTTGGTCTTCAAAGCAGTAGCTAAGCAATGCATTAAGCAAGTTTTATTGTTTACCATGGTAATCAAGATACAGGTAAAAATTCAATATCCTACCTACATACTTAGGTAATAGGTAAGGTACCTATGTTTGTAAGTTTGTATGTAGGGGTAATCTTTGGAACCACTGGTCAGATTCCCAAAAATCTTTCACTTATTGATAGCTACAATGTTCCCGGGTGCAACAGGCTATAAAACATCCCGCAACAATCAAATGGAGCCCTGCAGCGAGTGAAACCGCGCGAGATAAGCTACATAGTTTAAAATAAAATCCGTACACAATTCAATGTCGTTGAATTTTTCTGATATTTTTTGAGGAGTGCTTGGGCTGAGCCAAACCGTGTCCTCCACACGCCTCGTAGCCGCCGTAGTAGGCGACATTCCGGGCGTTGGAGATCGAGGGACGACTAGTAAGGGTAGCTCGCCATCCGACCAGATTCAGACCCGACCGGTCAAAGATTTAATAGACCACCACAGGGCCCTATACTCCTATAGGTCTGATGTTCAGCCGGCGATCCGAAACCGTAACCGCGGCTAAGCACAATGCGGTTAAGCGCAATGAGTCACCGCGGCCTCGGCCCAGAGCAGGAGACGGAACGGGTGTTTTAGTCATTAGGAGTCTGACACTCTCTCTCTCGCCCTATCATGGGCGGAAAAGGTCATCTAATGATTTTCCACTGACAAAAAACCAATAACTACAAAAAGAGTAACTCGAATAAACAATCTGTTAACCTAAAAATGAAGCACTAGAGTATGTTGAGACCAGTAGATAGTTACAAATATATCCTAGCAAAAAAAATGTAGGTATAGGTAAACAGTATGGGCATCTTAAACGGCTAGAAAAAAATTGGAGCATAAAAAGGTGACGAAGACTAATATGCTTACTGTAGGTAATGAGACAGAAGGCTATGGTTTTGTGTACTACCATTATTAACCTTCCCTTGCGAACCACATCATGCAAAATCAAAATCAGATAAGGTTAGCAAGAAGTGGACTGTAAGTTATAAAAAGAAACACACAAAAATATAAGGAAAATATTAAAACTTACGGATGACTTGTTTCACTGAAAAATAACACTAAAATGGCGTTGGGCTCTGCTCGTTGGCTAGTAATTATAAACACAGGTGGCTGGGAAATAGTCGATTAAGATAGCAAAAGACAGGGATCGTTAGAAAGCCCTTAAGACGGCCTTCACCTTCCAGAAAGACGGGGGCTTACTACTAACCATAGTAACGTAAAATATTACGTATGTTACATATTTTTCTATAGTTTTTTTAAAGAAAATAAGCATTCTTTATATTTTTTATTTAGTGAGAAATAAAAGGCTTTTTAATTTATTATTTTTATTCTAAAAACTGTCTGTTGGCAGTTAAAATAGAAAGCCTGGAATAAAATGCAAACGCAGAGAGTTTTATGGAGCACGAATGGAATTCGGTTACGCCAATAGGCATGTTCTTGTTCACACTCATAAAATCCAGATTGTAGTTAAAACGCATGTTTTTCCGAAAGCACTTATTTAAACTGAAGATAGCCGAAGCCGAGTGCTAGCCCCGCACTATTTATGAGACGTAAAGTATATAAATAAGCGGCGATGTTTTGTTATCGAATTAGTGGACGATAGTACTTGAAATGTTTCTGTTGTTGTGTTTGTTTGTTTTTCACATTTTTAGTAAGTCTTCACTTATTTGTTTTAATCAGTTAGGTACTTATTTATGATAACCATTTTTATTGCCTTCAATTGGCGACTGGCTAGTTTTTGGGGAAGACTATGGTGAAGGATTCCCATACCTTGCTAGGGACGCTGGATCTCAGTGGCACCGTCTTCTCTGAGGTCACTAGGTGGTAACTTAGAGTTACCTATCTGTGCGGTCGTAGCCTTAGAGTTTAGCCTGCAAGAGACACACGCGGGATTTCCGCGTGTCTGTAATAAACAACTCTTTGTGTAATTCAGAAATTGATGCTCCTTGTCTTTGTATGATATGTACGTATGTGAAATTCTGTACTTGTAAACGAGTAATAAAAAGTAAAAAGAAAAAATTTAATATCCCGACGATATGGTCTGCAAACTTACCTTCCTAATAAAATGAGGAAACTTTTCCTTTATATTATCGAGTTATCCCTTTATTATTGTATTCTATGTTTTGTACTTTGGTTAAGCAGAGGTTTGAATGTGTCTTCCAACTGTACAATTATTGCTGGGATAGCGGATACATAAATAATATTGTACCCCAGACCAACTTGGAACAGGAGACAGCCGTGTTGGTTTTCAGGTAATGTTAAGAGTTTTACCTGTCTGTCTTGGTCAGTAGGTACTCTTAGTGAAACTAAACTAACCAAGACCAATGATAATTAATCAACCTTAAAAAATCTTACAAGTGTTCTATGGTAACAATACCTTCTATCTACATTCGAATTACGAACTATCTGAATGATTCTTTATGATGTCCGAATCTCACGAACTACGAACTGTCTTCTGAATGTAATATATACACACACGTGGACAACGCACGAAGTGCTCCTGAACTGCTCGCAAATGCGCATTTCGCCAGAAAACTCTTAATAATAATTGATTTTATTCTAGTGTCATGGAATCCATGTTATTCTCAATACGAAAGTGGTACATCTAAAAGAATCTTAGATAAACTTATAAATATGATAAAAGAAATTTTCACTGATGCCATTGTAAAACTGGAGCAGATTGAAGTGTTTAAGTTAGAAGTTGAAAAACACCGTGCTTATAAACAGGGACATCTGGAATATCTAGTTAAGGACAGATATAGAAGGATGCTAATACTATACAGGCACACGGACCGCCTAACTCAAAAAAACAAAGATGCACAAGTAAGTGTTACTATGTCGCAATTATCTTTAAATCAATTACTTAAGTATAGCATCTTCTCAGCTTCCGCCCGCGTGGTGTGATGATAAAAAGTAGCCTATGTCCTATTCCGGAGTGTATTCTATGCCTGTGTCAAACATCAAAAATGTCAAAATAGCTTCACTAACAGGACTGCCCGACAGACTGACACTTTATATCTTTAAAATTTTGTATGACGTTCATAAGTGCCTGTATGGTTTTTTTTTGTGCGGTGAAATCATCAAATGACTTCTCCCGCCCAGGGCCGGGTGGGAGGGAGTGTCAGACTCTTACTGACTAAAAAACCCCCGTTCCTTTTCCTGCTCTGGGCCGAGGTCGCGGTGACTCATTGCGCTTACCCCGCAACCCCGGCTGAACATCAGCCTTTTAGGGCCCCGTCTGTGGTGGTCTTTTGGCTCTTTGAGGCGCGCTGCCCTTACTCGCCGACCGCAGACCCGTGCGTGCCTGTATGGGTTGACATCCAGATTCGTCCAGCGTCCTGTTTTGGCGTGGTTGAGTAACAAACATCCAAACATCGTAACTTTCGTATTTATAATATTAGTAATATTACGGTACCTATAGATATTTATTTATTATGAAATGACGTAAATATGTTGTCTCAGCAATTTTAATAGGTACGTAATTATTTCAATGTAGCTATATTAAATATTATTTATCGTTCAATAAGTAATATTTAATAGTATATTGTTTTACGGGATTTCATGCGCACCTGCCATGTAACTCAGTCTGTATTTTCTTCACGCCTAAACTACAGAACGATTTCTGTGAAATTTACATCCGTATCTGTAAATATCCTGTAGGTTGATGGTGGTGGCTGCATCCCACTCTCCAACATCCTAAAGGCGCTCACGCTCTACAGTTCTAGAAGAGTTAAAGAGTTCTAAATAATACTGCAAACCGTCACGACCCGATGTCTCGAAGAAGACAGTAATCCTGAATGTGGAAAACCCATTTTACCAATAAAAAAATATTGTGGTGTTATTGCAAAAGAATCATAAGTGCTAGTGATGCATTTAAACATTTTTTTTTTTATAGTTACCTAACGTTATTTTGTTATGATATCGATTACTCCATTGATTATTAAGCATCGTTTTATTCGATTGTTGTTTGATTTCTGGCAATATATTTAACTACTATTTGACTCTAACTTTAATCCCAGGGCAAAAGAAATTGTATAAAAGATAATATGGACACAAAAAAATAAATAATAATTTTAAGGTATTATTCCATTGAGGCACACGATAACACAAAAGGGACCCATCCCGTGGCATTCTCCTTTCTATTGTGATGACTAAAACAATAATTCAAAACTTTAGGTACATTACTGATGGACTAATAATATATTTGTTTTTTCCTGTTATCATCTCATGTTATTATTGACTAGCTTTTGCCCACGACTTCGTTCGCGTGGACTTCAGGTTCGTCCCGTCTAAGCACTGCAGAACCCTAATCATAGGTCTATAGGTAGCTACTGCAGTATGCTCCTCTAAACTACATGTAACGATCTTTTTCCTTCAGCATAAACGCAAAAATGTGTTTTTTTACGACCTCACATTAGAAACCTCAAAAATTGTAGCCTATGTGTTATTCTGATGTATAAGCTATATTGTTATATTGTTATATTGTTAGTAAATTTTACGTGAAAGAGTAACAAACATCCATATATCCATACTTACAAACTTTCGCCTTTATAATAGTAGTAGGATATTGGTTTTCTTCGTATAAGTCAGGCAATACTGTGTCTATAAGGTTTATATATGATTTTGATGTTTTCAGTGCATCAATGAACTGGTAGACATGGACAACTTATATCACGACACGATGATTTTTATTGAAATGATGAAAATGATTGAAGGGGTCGACAATCTCGCACCGATAAAGCCCCGGTTCCGATCAAATACAGCCCAGAAAGAGTGGCGGGAAGCGGCGGACACTGCGGCGAATGACCCCGCAAAATTAACTAAAAACCCGCAATCCTCGGAAACACATCCAGGCAAACGAAGTAATGGTGCCTGGAATTATGGTCAAAATTCTGATGATACACTTTTCAAGTAATATCGCTTAGTCGACTGCAATGCGACAGGATACAGGTTTTATAAGTTTTATATTTACTTATGTGACTGGCAAAGAATGTCATAATATCCCAGAACGTTGTGGAGTTACTTAGTTATTCTATGTGAAATATTGCATACTGTCACATCTAATTTCACAGTGGCAGTTTCACCCGCTGCCCATTTGATCGTAGCGTGATGTCTTATAGCCTATAGCACTCAGAAAAATTGTAGCTATCTACCAGTGAATTGAAGAGATCGACCGCGGCGACATCTCGCGTCCGGGTTTAGTAGACGTCCTGATGCAGAGCGACAGGAGCTGGCAAGAGAAGCCACGCCCCAACCGCCGTAGTACATGCCGTAGTACGGGCATACTCCGGGCGTCATGGCTCGCGCGACGTTCTCCGGCCACTAAGCACGGATCTGAGGGCGGTGAGCAAGGGTCAGGCCACACGACCGAACTAGACCCGAACGTAGCGCATAGCGGTACGCAGGCATGGAGCCCAACATGGCTGACGTTCAGGGGTTGCGAGTCAAAGGCAAAGACTTTCATCTCGTCAGCGCACTGTGTGGCCGAAATACGATGCGTTGTTGGCATATGGTATATAGCATGAGAGGTAGTTTGATGTGCTGTCTACGTTATGTAGTATGTACTATTGTTATATCTATTCGTGTGATTGATAACTGTAGGTATCTTATGGAAACTGACAGTCCAAGTCAGACTAAGAGTTATAAGTAGTAAGTATTAAACTAACTTATCATTAGGTTCTGTAATTTGTTTCCTACATTTAGTGCATCATTATCAAATAAAAAGTAAATTTAGTTTTGAATTCGGTTTTAAATTTTTCGTTGTTGGCATAATTATGTTGAAGGCTTGACATAAACTTAATTGGCATAACGTTGCTAGTCATATTCATAATCAATACGAATTACTGACAAACTGAGGCTATGTAGTATCATCGAGAAACCCTAATGTGGAAGGTAGATAATACTACCAGGCAGAGACTGAAATAAATTATTTGATTTTAATTCTGTTTACATTTGGTGTTAATATTTAAGGCATCCCGACCAATGTAGATTAGGTAAGGCTAGAACTAAGATGGACGCTCGGTGCCACTGCACTGCCACTGCCCATTTCGGGGAGAACACAGATTGGGAGGAGTAGCGCCGTGTCCTCAAAAATGAGGTAGGAGACGATCTATCGCTGTCGGTCGTGGTGCGGAAGATGGTCGACAGCGCAGAGTCACGAGATGCAGTGGTATCGAGATCACGTCCTCGCCTTTCCCGGCCGCAGAAGACGCACCGGGCGCAGGAGAAGGGCTGATAATCTTTTCCGCCCCCCATAAATGGGTCCAGCTACGAGGGTAGCTAGTAGCTAGTTAGGGAGCTGGCGAGCTTTTTTCTTATTTGATTTACTTGTACTTCCCACAAATTGGGGTAGGTACGTTACTAGGTTTTTAAGCGGCAATTTCATTTGGCGACGGCTTCATTTGAGGGTTAATGATCAATACCATTTTGATAAGGGCAAAATTCAGGGCACCATGAGCACGGGTAGTAGATGAAAAAATGTATATAAGAAAATAAAAGCTTATAAATCATTAGCTCGATTAGTAACACTTATTCGACTTTGATAGTTCAATGTTTTTGTAAACTCCTTATTTATATTTTTAAACCTTTAGAGAGTAAAGCGCAATAACTTATCCTTGGTCCGGCATGGAGCTGGAGAAAGAACTGGGTGGTTTATAGACAATAAAAGCCTGACCCATTCAGAGCGAGAGCAGACATTTGATGATCTTTCCACGACAAAAAAATGAGTAGAAGAGGAATTTGGAAAGAAACACGTCTATGGAGCTTGATAAATCAAAATCTTGGTAGGAAAGTATGTATATGTAGATGTGACATAGATATTTTAATAGTAATTGTCTGCGGTCGTTCTCCAATTTGACGTCCCTTTTCTAATTACCAAATCCATTTTTATTGTTGATTGATTTTACTTGAACAAATCTAATCATAAAACTAATCTTTGTGTTGCTGGATACACTGGTTTTTTTATTAAACAAAATTTGTATGTGGACCTACAGTAAAAACATTATATATTTTTTTAACTTAGTAGAAATACCATCTTGTAGTTTATATACCTGTTGTAGTGGATATATTTGTAACAGAAGTTATATACCGAATATAACTTCTGTTAAGTGTCAAGATTCATTAAGACTGCAAATTGTGATTATGTCAGTTTACGAAAGTACTCAATGTTTACAGAGTGTATTCGAGCACTTCAAGGCTAAAGGAAACAAAAGCACTTAAGCAGCTTTATGCCATTTTCGCCTGTACGCATCGGACTAACTAAAAACGGAACGCGAGGATACATTGGTTTACTTTTGGTTAAGAATTTGTTATTGTAAGCCATATGGGCGCAGGGCGGCGGGGTTTTTTCTGTTACGACGAATCTGAGGCCATCGTTAAACAATGGGACACATGCTTGCTATATGAGTAAGTTCGTACATCTGTGATGAACACCCCTGGTCCTAGCCATTGTCAATTTTTGACCAAACCTTACGTACTTACTTACTTTCCAACAACGAATACTGCCAAATTATATCTCATCAGTATTCTCAGTTATTGTTCGTGGTTGGCGCAATAGTTGTGTGATCGGTAAATATAATGTGCCTAACCGATTTTCAAAATTATTTATGTCAAAATTATCGCTTCAGCAATAAGGTGGTGGTTAACATTCTGTTTTGTCTTTGATCTCGTTTGCCATACGAAAATCATCAAATCACGTCTTCCACTTCTTCTCTCGCCTTACCCTGGGGTAAGGCGAGAGAGAGTGTCAGACTGTTACTGACTTACTGACTAAAAATGCCCCCGTTCCTTCTCCTGTTTTGGGCCGAGGCCGCGGTGCCTCATTGCGCTTACCCCGGAACCCCGGTTGAACATCAGCCCTGTGGCCCCACAGGTGCCCCTGTCAGTGGTGGTCTATAGGCTCTTTGAGGCACGCGTGGTTCTGGTCAAGCGGTGAGCTACCCTTACTCGCCATCCCCAGACCCGTACTTACGGTGGCCGGAGATTATCTCTTGATCCCCGACGACGGAGTGTCACCCACTGCAGCGGCCGGGTCTGAGGAAGAGGAGAGCTCTCGCCGCGGCGGCCCGCCTCCCTCTTTGAGAGCATAGCTGCTTTACAGAAAGAGGAGACGGCTTCCCAATTCCTATTGCTTCGCACCATAGCCTCGACTAAGGCCGGAATTGAGAGGTCGCCGCCGCCAATCACTTCTCTGAGGACAGACAATGACGACACTAGGGTGTTTCCTCCCTCCGAATTCGAAACAGTAGGAACCTACCGAAGCTAAGTAACTTAGAATAAAGGAAAAGATAAGTTTTCATATCTTAATGTGTGACACATATCACTTAAATATTCTTGATTGACTGCTATCTACCAAAAGAGAAACAATAGCGAATCTAAGAAAAACATTGTCTACATTTGTTGTCGAGTAAAGTTGCTGTAAACATACATACATATAATAAAATTCAAGAACATCAGATTTTTTATAAGAAAAACTGACAATAACGTATTAAGGATAAACCTAATATTGTTGGCCATCTCAAAATTAATTTTATTTATGAAATCTTCCGTTCATAATCTACTTTCAGGAGAAACAAAGTAGGTATAATCCTTACCGAGCTGTGTAATAGCAGGAACTTGTGCCGCGGTCGATGAATATCGAATTATGAACATTGAGAGCCAACTTGGAGTGAAGCCCGGGGTCATCTCGACTTAGCTGCAACTCTTCCAATCCACTTAGCGACTTATCAACCGATATCTGCGCAAGAACATTCTTCTCCTCAAGTTGTATCAAGTTAACTGAAATAGATTCTTTTTAATTATATCCTTTAAAAGATAGGTACACAAATGCGGGGATAAAAAGTATAAAGGTAATTAAGGGAAGCATTTTATGTAGTTTTTTTATTTTCGCGTTCATCGCTTGTGTATTATATGCTATAAACAACGTGCATAAATTAGGCAGATGGTGCTTACAAACGAATAAGTAATTAAAACCCATCTGAAGTTTTTAAATAATTGTGTGTGCAATAAGTCTCATTGAACATTTTAAAACCAACAATTTATTACATTTCACGTTCCTGTATATTCAGCTTATATTGAAAATGAATTTCATTAAATATATTCAGATACAACAAAAATGTGAAGGCAGTGTGGGCTGTATTCCAGTGACAAAGCTACATCGTGTTCGAATGAAATTCTACACTGCATTGCACGAATAGGGTTGATATTTGATTGTGATTGGGTAGCTGGATACTAAAGCCACTCCACCACGAATGTCACGGATCAAATCGACAATAAATGTTAAGTATTTACTTTACATTTACTCTTTAATTGTACGTCCATTATGACGGACGGAGTGTTCGCTCGAATTCTGTCCATGACAAAGCACGTTCGTCAGTAGGCAATGTTATTTTATCAAACTAACCGGAGGTGTCATGTGGCAGTCTTTTCATAATACGTATTCCTACATATAAATGGCAATGCACTGTCATAAGTTGATAGCTCCGGTATGCACTTGTAGGTACCTCCTTAATATACCAATGGGTTACTCGCTTCCCGTGTTTGGGATATAAATTTGATTGGTCAAGACTTGGTTTCTCTAATTGATGAGATATAAATATAAGACATAAAACTATATAAGACACATAAAATTACGTTGTGACAAAATTACTTATGAAGTATATATTTACTTTCTTTGATTAAAAATTCTAGCTTAGTTTGCATTTGAGTAGCTCCCGCTATCTATTATTATAGATACACAAGAAGTAGTACCTATATAAACAGCCCTCGCAGGGTAAACCAGACGTGATAACTGAATTGAAACAACTACCTAGATGATAAAATGTTGACAAATGTGAAAAGAAGGTTTCGATATTTTAAAGTTTCATAATCATTAAGGAAAAGAGGTTCAAAAATCATCTTGACGCCGTACAAAGGAAAATCTTCGTTATCTTTTAAAAAAATATGACTAATTAGGTACAATAAGAACCAAATTAATTTACATGCCAAAAATACTTCAAGTTCCTAAAAGTTAGGAAGGTGAAAATAAAATAAAATTATTAAGTAAGTACAAAAATTAAGTTTAGAATTTAGATCACGTATAGAACGGCCAAGGGTAAAAGTCATACAAAGTTTATTTAGGTAAACACGTTTTACTAAACAAACATGCAATCAGTTTATTTATTTTGGTCAGGAGACACTTCTTATTTATTTGAAAAAGGAATATAGAAACATCGATCTAATATATACGTACTTATAGATAAGTATACAAATAATATTTCAAGAAGCAGAAATGGGACTTTATGTTAAAAAATAATCGAAGCAAAGAAATTCATAAGTGTGTAGATAAGAATGAAAATATTGTATTGCCTTTGATATGAAGGAATGGGTCGCATGTACCTGAACCATATATGGGTACATGGTAGTACATAGACATTTAATGGCAGGCCAAGATATGTACAAGGTGGGGAAGAGCACGGCCGCTCGATAACACAAAGTTTAGGACGCATGCGCCGGGGCCTGGCCACCGACCTGAAACCGTTCTCCACCACGCTATACCCCGTAGGTATTTTCCATACAATTACTTCAGCTCGTTCTCCATTGTTCACATGCTTTATTAACATTATGTACCACCTCAGACAACAACTTACCAATCGCACATTTGCGTTCAAGTACAATAAGTAGTCCCAACTGGTTTTGACTCTAAGACCCTTTTAATAGCACATCAAAAAATAGAATATTATTATTCTTACTCTCATTTTGTAAGTTTGTTTATTTTTTTACAAAAGTCTTTTAGTGAGAGAACGAGATATTAAAACCGGCTATTTATAATAAGTACATACATGTATATAATAATTGTGTTCAGGGTTAATTTGTTTCTTTTAATACCGGCACGAAGCGGTCGCAGCCAATAAGAATCTAGTTGTATTTGTACCATACTTTCAGCTTTGAATGGCTCGTCAGGTTATTATTATAATTCATGCCTTTCATCGATGCAATTTTTATTAATATCACGCCGACTTACTGGGGGGTCTGACCACAGACAGAGATGTTAAAGTAACACCCCATTTCCACACAAAATCAATTCGTACAAAGGGATGA